ACTTTTGATCTTACATTGGGATTAATCCTACCTGGTTTTAGGAAGATATAAAAGTATATAACTTGTCTGTCATCAATGTTTCTGTGAACCTGGAGTAAATGAAAATGACTCAAATAATCACACATTGTATAATTTCTAGCCTAATTTTAACTTTCAGCACATAACTCGATTTTTTTTTCAGTTATTTTCCAGAAGTTATCAGTTATAATTGAACAGAGAGAATTGTTAATACAAAATAATGTCCATGTTGTATGTAGTCTACTTTATTTTGAAGTTGATCAGTGAGGAACAGGATAGGGTGGGAGGGGAACTAATTTAGGGAATAGAATGGGGAATAGAAGGGAAGGGAAGGGAAGGAGAATAGGGTGGGGAAACGGTATTGGGTGGGGAAATTGGTTATGGAATAGGGTGCGGAAGAAAATTAGTTTAGGGAATAGGATGGGGAAGGGATTTAGTTTAGGGAATAGGGTGGGGAATGGGATTGATTTAGGGAATAGGGTGGGGAATGAGGGGGAATAAGGTGGGGAATGAGATTAGTTTAGGGAATAGGGTGGGAAATGAGATGAAATAGGGTGGGGAATGAGAGGGAATAGGGTGGGGAATGAGGGGGACTAGGGTGGGGAATGAGTGGGAATAGGGTGGAGAAAATGGGGTGGGGAATGAGGGGGACTAGGGTTGGGAATGAGGGGGACTAGGGTGGGGAATGAGGGGGACTAGAGTGGGGAATGAAAGGACTAGGGTGGGAAATGAGGGGAATAGGGTGGGGAATGAGGGAGACTAGGGTGGGGAATGAGGGGATCTGAATTACAAGCCAGAGTAAGTTGGATAAAGGTATCCAGTCTTTCAAGAAGGCAATTAATCGAGGCCCTGTGAGCTACAGTTTGTGCATGCTGAAAAGAAAAAATTTATCATTGGGTTCATGGCATTACCGATATTCTTAAACAGAAAAGTAGGTGATTAATCTCTTGTTTCTGTTATTAAGATGAGATGATTATATGATTGTGTTTGATTCTAGGCTTTAGTGAGATTGTTATCAGCTAATGATGTTCTAGTTTTACACTGCTCCTTACACGCTTTAAACGGCCTGGCTCAGAGGTGAGATACGAACTTTAACATCTTTATAAACCTGTATCATACATAGTAACTTTCTAATAATCTAAGACTATAGTGCCTTAACTAAGAAACTGATTGGTTGAAGTAATTGTAATAATATTGACCAATCAGATATCCAGCTTCGTTAAAGGGACAGGTAGTCCATTTTTTTTTTTGACCAATTTTTTAGCTGAACTAATCAGTGATAGTGTTCACAGCTCACTGTCGAAATATTAGGCTTCAAATCTATTTTTAAAGGAATTATGTGATTTTCGAACATTTCTAGTACTTCTGAAGACTATTTACATATATTCAAATTAACCCCCAAAAATGGCCCACCTGTCCCTTTAAACTATAAATTTGTTAGTAATGTAAAATGTAAATATTCTAGTGTTGGCACTATATATCGCTGAATCGATGTATCGTGATACAGCATGCTACTATATCATATCTTGACGTTGAGTATCAATACTTGACGATACCTCTCATTCCTTAAAAAAGTGGGGATTTTTATAGTTTGGTAAATGAATCACAATTTTTCACATATTTGACTGAAATTATTTGAAACTTTTTATAAGACAGTGGACATTAACAACTTCTATCAACTATATTACCTTATATCACAGTTATAAAGTTATAAATTAATATATATAGAAACTATTTATAAGACAGTGGATGTTAACCACTTCTATCAACTATATTACCTAATATCACAGTTATAAAGTTATAAATTAATATATATAGAAACTATTTATAAATAAGACAGTGGATGTTAACCACTTCTATCAACTATATTACCAAATATCACAATTATAAAGTTATAAATTAATATATATAGAAACCATTTATAAGACAGTGGATGTTAACCACTTCTATCAACTATATTACCTAATATCACAGTTATAAAGTTATAAATTAATATATATAGAAACTATTTATAAGACAGTGGATGTTAACGACTTCTATCAACTATATTACCAAATATCACAGTTATAAAGTTATAAATTAATATATATAGAAACTATTTATAAGACAGTGGATGTTAACCACTTCTATCAACTATATTACCTAATATCACAGTTATAAAGTTATAAGTTAATATATATAGAAACTATTTATAAGACAGTGGATGTTAACCACTTCTATCAACTATATTACCAAATATCACAGTTATAAAGTTATAAATTAATATATATAGAAACTATTTATAAGACAGTGGATGTTAACCACTTCTATCAACTATATTACCTAATATCACAGTTATAAAGTTATAAATTAATATATATAGAAACTATTTATTATAAGACAGTGGACATTAACCACTTCTATCAACTATATTACCTAATATAAATTAAAGGCAGTATTTTCATTATCATAAATTATACCTGAAAATATTTCTAAGTGTTTTAAAAGGATTAATTAAAAACAAAGAAAGTTTTGATTAACCAGTTTGACCTAGTGTTGGTGGCTTTATAATAGCTCCATATTATTAGTTGAAACGTAGGAGACATATTTCTCTATAATTAGGCATTTATTTTACTTAAATCCATACTGTAGTTTTTTAACAGCCTCCAAAAAGTGAACTTACGTAAGGTTTTTACATATTTTTGGTGTTAAAAAAACTAACAGATGAATTTTTTTAGTTAAAATTTTCAGATACATTAAGGGACACATTTCTCTAGATTTTGGTGTATACTTTTTAAAAATTTTGATATGTATTGTAATACTTGTATCATGAAATGTATCATATCATGGCATAATTAGCCATACCCAGCATTAAAATATTCAGTAATGTGATAGGAAACACATCTTCATTTTAACTACTGTTATGCATCTCTTCTAATTTAATGTAAATTCCCCATTTGAAATATTAATTTTGAAAATAAGAGTTTTTTTGTAAGAAATCTTGTCAGAAATAATATGAGAATTCCTACAATTACAGACATCTGTTGTCATATTTTACAAATATTTTATCAGATCCTTTACAAATACTTTTAATGCACATTAGCTTTTTTTTTGAATGTTTTCATGTGAAAGCTGTTCTGATAATGAATTAATTCATGTGCATTATCTGTTTTTTGTTTTTTATAGCGCTAGCCCACGTTCACTTATTGGTGAATTAAATTGCGTGGAATATCTTTTACGAATTATACAAGATTATGATACAGTGTCTAAAAAGTAAGTTAAGATATTTTAAAGTGAGTTAGAGCCTTGCTCGTCCAGGGTTCAATCCTGGCATAGGTCGAGGTAATATCCTAAGGATTTTTCAACCTGGTTTCTCCTGTCAGTGATGCAGATAAAAGGGACTGACATGGAAAAATTATCTCGTCGTTTGGATTGGACAATAAACCGAGGCACGGTGTGCTACAGACTATGCATGTTAAAGATTCCTTGACAGTTGGAAATCAAAAAAGAGCAGGCTAATGCTGCTGTCTTGGTAAAGAATTTCCCTCATTGCATCCTGCATGGCGTTGCACGTCTTCATTAGCCCACAGTAGGACGTAAAACTCCATTCATTTCATTTCAATATCTTAAATATTCAAAATTCAGGCCCTCCAAGTATTTATAGCGCTGATGAAATAATTTGAAATTAGGGATTGTCAAATTGGCAAACCTGTCGGCCAGTCTGCATAGTTCAAAAATCTTGTCCAAATTATGGCAAAATCAAGATTAAAAGTTGTATAGTAGTGGACTCCTCCAAAGAGTCAACATAGCTAATGATATTATTTTGATTTGAATATTAAAGGTTGGCTGCCCAGCTACTAAGGTTACTATGTGGTGACCAAGGATGCAGTGAGAAAGTACGAGATTATGATGGTATTCCAGTTTTATTAAGGTAGGTCTCAGATCGGCCTGAAATGGTAGATATTTATACGTCAACATGGGGATAATTAATTGGTTACCGCTTAAAACTGGATATTATCAATTGATTACAGCTAATTACTAGATATTATCAATTGATTACAGCTAATTACTAGATATTATCAATTGATTACAACTGATTGCTAGATATTATCAATTGATTACAGCTGATTACTAGATATTATCAATTGATTAGTAGATATTATCAATTGATTACAGCTGATTACTAGATATTATCAATTGATTAGTAGATATTATCAATTGATTACAGCTGATTACTAGATATTATCAATTGATTACAGCTGATTTTTAGATATTATCAATTGATTACAGCTAATTACTAGATATTATCAATTGATTACAGCTGATAACTAAATATTATCAATTGATTAAAGCTGATTGCTAGATATTATCAATTGATTACAACTGATTACTAGATATTATCAATTGATTACAGCTGATTACTAGATATTATCAATTGATTAGTAGATATTATCAATTGATTACAGCTGATTACTAGATATTATCAATTGATTAGTAGATATTATCAATTGATTACAGCTAATTACTAGATATTATCAATTGATTACAGCTGATTACTAGATATTTTCAATTGATTACTAGATATTATCAATTGATTACAGCTGATTTTTAGATATTATCAATTGATTACAGCTGATTACTAGATATTATCAATTGATTACAACTGATTACTAGATATTATCAATTGATTTCGAGATATTATCAATTGATTACAGCTGATTACTAGATATTATCAATTGATTACAGCTGATAACTAAATATTATCAATTGATTAAAGCTGATTGCTAGATATTATCAATTGAGTACTAGATATTATCAATTGATTCCAGCTGATTACTAGATATTATCAATCGATAACAGCTGATTACTAGATATTATCAATTGATTACAGCTGATTACTAGATATTATCAATTGATTACAGTTGATTACTAGATATTATCAATCGATTTATGGATGTTATCTTTTGATTACAACTGATTGCTAGATATTATCAATTGATTCCAGATGATTACTAGATATTATCAATTGATTACAACTGATAACTAAATATTATCAATTGATTATAGATGATATCAATTAATTAAAACTGATTACTAGATATTATCAATTGATTACAGCTGATTACTAGATATTATCAATTGATTAATAGATATTATCTATTGATTACAGCTGATTACTAGATATTATCAATTGATTACAACTGATTACTAGATATTATCAATTGATTACTAGATATTATCAATTGATTACTAAATATTATCAGTTGATTACTAGATATTATCAATTGATTACTAGATATTATCAATTGATTACAGCTGATTACTAGATATTATCAATTGATTACAGCTGATTACTAGATATTATCAATTGATTACAGCTGATTACTAAATATTATCAATTGATTACTAGATATTATCAATTGATTGCAGCTGATTACTAGATGTTATCAATTGATTACAGCTGATTACTAGATATAAACAATTGATTACAACTGATTACTAAATATTATCAATTGATTACTAGATATTATCAATTGATTGCAGCTGATTACTAGATATTATCAATTGATTACAGCTGATTACTAAATATTATCAATTGATTACTAGATATTATCAATTGATTGCAGCTGATTACTAGATGTTATCAATTGATTACAGCTGATTACTAGATATAAACAATTGATTACAACTGATTACTAAATATTATCAATTGATTACTAGATATTATCAATTGATTGCAGCTGATTACTAGATATTATCAATTGATTGCAGCTGATTACTAGATATTATCAATATTGCAGCTGATTACTAGATGTTATCAATTGATTACAGCTGATTACTAGATATTATCAATTGATTGCAGCTGATTACTAGATATTATCAATTGATTACAGCTGATTACTAGATATTATCAACTGATTACTAGATATTATCAATTGATTACTAGATATTATCAATTGATTACTAAATATTATCAATTGATTACTAGATATTATCAATTGATTACTAGATATTATCAATTGAATTACTAGATATTATCAATTGATTACTAGATATTATCAATTGATTACAACTGATTACTAGATATTATCAATTGAATTACTAGATATTATCAATTGATTACTAGATATT